CTTTCTTTCCACAATTGTCACACCGTCTGCTCCACCTCCACCAATCAAGATCTCTGGATTTCCATTGTCGCACTCAAAAATCAGGCTATCCTTAAAACTGGGAAACTGCCTCATCACAACCGCCCCTCCTGGCCATGACTGGTTATTGTGGAATTGTCCAAGGTGACAAACCATGTCCGGGACCACGAGGTATCAGGGTTTCAGAGTAGACTGTGAACCCCCGGTGTCTGAAACTAGGCACTCTGGATCGGTCTGCCCGCCTCTTCTCACATCGTTTCTGCGTCCTGTTGCTTTGGTCCTGACGCAACTCCGAAACGGCGATCAACAATCGCACTTAGTGCGGGGCACCCATCTAGACTCTGACCGTTCTGAATTAAACACTAGCCGATTCCAACTGTTGAATAAGATGGCCATCAAAATGTTGGCGCCACTGCCTATCGGCGACGGCGCGCACACTTCAGGTGTCTCCGGTGGCTCGGGATCGAAGGCAGCAGCTACAGACAGTTTGATCTCGGAGGACCTCGCGGACCTGGAATGGATGCTGGGACGGGATTCGTTAGATTTCTTGCTCCAACTGCGTCATAATGCTCTGACGGCTCAAGAATGTGATACGGAAGCCCGCTCCTCTCTGGTCCAGCGGGAAATTGTTTCAATCTTGGCTCACGTCTCCTCGGAGCGTCTCGCGGAACGCACGTACAACACGATGTCGTTCCTTAGGCTTCTTCTGGTCAAGATTCGGGACCTCCAAGAACAAGTTTGGCGTCTGGACACGAACAAGACTTCGGACCACGCGCTCTGGCTCCAAGACACGAATCACGCTCTGGGACGTGAGTTGACGGCTATGTGCCAGTACTGGCACTGTCATATCCAGGAAGTTGAGCGCAGGAGCTCCGCGACGATGGCGGCTGGTACTCGTTTCTTCCAAAACGTGGAAGAGGCTCTGAAACGCAGGGACCAGACGCTGCAAGACGAGAATGCTCGACTCCGGACGGAGCTCCGGGCTGTGCAAAATGTCCAAGAAGCCGTAGAGCGTCGCGCCGATGACAGTGCATTGGATCCAGATGACTTACTGGATTTCTTAATACAGGATGAGAGTGGGGTCTCAGTCATCTTCAACTGAGAGCGGCTCCGCGACATTTTTCGGCACTACGCCGAGGTCACCACGCCTCCTTCTGACTGGTGTACTCAGATCAACGTGACGGTCATGGACAACGTGCGTTACATGCCCCCGGACTACATGAAAGCTGACCCGCGGTCGAGGAATCCTCGTGGTGGTGGCGGTTCAGGACCCAAACCCTCAACACCAAAAGCAGTCATAGTTCTGGACCTTACGGGTAGCGGAGGATCGAAAACCTCCAGTACCAAGTCTCGACCTTCCAGAACGAGATCAACGTCTGGAACCAAGCGCAAGGCGCCACAGCAGTCTAGTTCTGGTCACGCGCGCAGCGCCCGCAAATTGGAGCTTGACATCACTGAGGTGAGGCAGATGCGCCCCAAAAAGCACTGCCCCCGGGGCGACCTCGCTTGCGGTCCTGACACGGACCTAGACTTAGCGATGGAGGTCGACGCCCAAAAGCTGGTTCCGGACGGTTTACTCTGGGAAGGCCTTCGACAAGACGTCCGTATGCTAATGCTCACGGGTCTTACTTACGAAGATGCTCTGAAATTACTGCGTTCGGACGAGTCTATCCACCACCTTCTACCTGGATATATGGTGCAGTTGATGTTGGCTCAGATGATTGACTGGGGAACCTTGGACTTTACACCTTGGAGCAAATATGTGCCCGAGTCGAATTATCTGGATGCAGAGAGAATCTAGACCGGAATTCGAGTCGTGGACTGGAGAAATGGCCTTCGCTAAATTGCTGCGACCAGAAGCTTCAGAAGCTCAAGGATGTGGCCGCGGAGGTTGAACTAATCAACGGCGTCCTCTCTGAATCGTCGGATGACGAAACTCAAGACCCCTCTTTTTCTCTGAAACCAGATGCGGAGGAGGCTGACAACGCTCTAGAGGCTCAAGATGAGACTGAAGATTTGGACGATGGTGAGGACGAAGTGTCTACGAACACGAATGGTGTTGGTCCGAAGACCAGAGGTCAAGCGAGTTCTGGGACACGACGCCCCTCGCCGACCTCTGCCAAGAATCCCAACGCAATGACCAGAACCCCGAACACCAAGATCATCAAGAGGGCCAAGACGAATACCGGTCGCGCCAAAGAGACGCGTCATCCTACGGACTTGGCTCTTCGTGACTTCCAGACCTTGAGCGAGGACGAGTTAATGATCATTGAGGTCTGCGACCGGGACGTTACTAGCACATTCCGAGTCTTCGGAATCAATATGAAATTCTCTGACAAGATCCCGACTCTCGGTTTTCCAGACAACGAGCCACACAAGCACGAGACGAAGTATCTCAAGGTTCGGTGGTCCATAGAAGCATAGGAGGAGGTCTTGGGCGTCGTGTGAGTGAAGAAGTTCGGAAGTAAGGGGCATCGTGGGATCACGCCAGGGCGCAACTCGTCTGAGGTAGGTGCTTATGGTTCGGGTTCAGGTCCAAGTGCGTGGGAGTCGAAGGTTCTTGACTTTGTACTCCCCTGGGTCCAAATATTTGAGGATCGCTCCAAAGAGTTCTACTTCCACCACGTTCGTGACTTGAGCAAAGGAGTCCTGCGTGGGATCAAGAAGTACTTGGGGTCTATGTAGGAACACGCTGAAGGCTGGTGGTAGATATTACACTGGTTCACGATCTCCATGGTGGACGACCGAGCGAATGACCTCCACCTACGGCGTCGCAAGTCGGGAAACACTGGTCCGGAATTTTCTAATTCTAGTCCAGCGTCTGGAGAAGATTGACAAGTTCCCCAAGACGCTCTGGTACGAACCTGGCTTTTGGATCCTTTCCAACACTATATGCAACTGGATCTTCAAGGATCCATCTGTGAACTTCAGGACTGTGGCTGGGGTCGCTGACTTGCGCGCACAGTCGCTGGAACTGGACGAGCGCGAACCTACACGTACACTCTGGGAAGATGCTGCGACTGAGACTGCGCGTCTGGAACATGTACCAGAGGCATTATTCTCTAAGCGCCAACACCCGAAGATCGAACGAGCCAGGAACTGGCTGCCAATTCCGGAACCCCCTTCCACTTCGAAGCGGAGGACTACGAAGGAACTATACCAGCTCCGTCTCGCCCAAGAAGCTACGTCACAAGCTCCAACTCCGACTGAGTGTCTGACTCGAGGCCACTTAGTGCATTTCAGGCTCGACCTTCAGTGTCCATGCATATCGTAACGTATCAACCTAATTCAATAGTCAAATGTGTATAACTTACCGCGTCCTTAGCCTCGTTTCCATCTTTTCCTTATAACAGATTCGTATCCTCACTTTGTCCTTGTCAAAGTCGCCCCAACGCGGAGCAGACTGACCAGAAGATTTCCATTTCCATACATATCTTTCGTACCGAACTCTGAACCCACGTCACATAACCAAATATTCGCACGCGGCCACTTAGTCATTCCTGCAGCACGCGAGATCTCCGAAACGAGGCATTTAATTGCCCGAACCAGACTTAACTTCTCTGGATCGGAACTTATAGCTCCGTGTAGTCGTCATTTCCAGACTACATGGCGGCAAAACGAGCCGTGACACGTGCTGACTGGTTGAATTTGTATAAAAGGAAGCCACAATTCAGTTGTGAGACAGGCAACCACTGAAGTTCATCGTATCCCTTCCACTTAATGAGATATTCGCGGATACGTCTAGCATTTCGAGTGCATATGGTCCATCTTAAATCCGCGATTTCTTCCACTTCATACTCCTGGTGTACAGAATCTGGTTCCCAACTATCCTCCGGCAATAAGGCCGCATCAAAGTCATCATCCTCTAAAATGTCGAGCCTTAAAGACAGCCGTTTCGGAAACAAGGCACGTGGTTTCAGACGACTGATGTGAACCCATGGCTCTACACGGTAGCCCGTGTCCTGAACCTCCCGGTTCACTTTGAAGTCGTCCCGAACCTGCTCAATCCTGAATGGTCCGTGTCACAAATGAGCCAATTTACGACTCAGACCTGGCAAGACGTTCGGGATATATAACCATACCGAATCACCTACTTCGAAACCGGATTTGAGGTGATCCGATAGCGCCTTCCACTTCCGAGTCTGAACCGCGGACCTCGTACACTTGGCTTTCTTCTGGAGTTTTCCGCAATGGTGTGGGCGTAGCTGTAGTCCCGCTGCGGGTTTTGGCGCCATTTGTATGCGGTACGCTCCGCAACGTCCGTTGGTTTTGGACCCAGCATGGCTGATATAGTACTCCGACAGTCGAACCGGTGCAATAGGTAGAACGGCGTGTCCAATCTGGCCGCATCGAAAGAGATATTCAGAGCATGCATAAGCTTCTCTGGGTGGTCGTCCCAGTCGGGTTGGTTGGGTTCTTCAACATACGCTCTTATACTGTGCATAATTGTCTGACCCGACCGTTCCTGTTAGCCATTGGCCTGAGGGCGATACGCGAGTGTCGCTTCCTGCTAGATACCCATCATCTCACTAAAACGGCGGAACACCCGACTCATAAACCTCGGATCTCTGTCGTGACGTATTTCAGAGTTTGCACCATAGTTCCTGAACACTACTTCCTCATAGGCTTCGGCGCAGTCTTGAGCGGTAGTACTGCGCATGGGTTTGCACATAACGTAGCCTGTGAACATGTTTTGAAACAAGAGTAGGAACTTATTCCAACGTTCAGACTTCGGACGGTGTGTGACAAAATCCATGGACTCTACTTCGAATGGACCGGTGGGTTCAATGTTTCCAGATGAGGGTCCTGGATTCGGGGTCGCCCCTTAGCGGACGCGCAATCCGTACATTCCTTGACAAACACCTCAACGTCCTGGAACATCCCGGTCCAGAAAAACTCTCAACGCAGACGCTCATATGTCCTGGTAATGCCTTGATGGCCGCTTTGGAAATCCTCGTGAGCGTGATGTAGGATGTCGGGTCGCAAGGCTTCTGGTACAACTAGGTGAAGTTCAGAGCGCTTGTCCCTAGGACGTTCCGGCGTAGGGGTATCTAATCGATAAAGAACGCCCCTTGAGTTTAAAACATATCGGTCTGAAACCTTCGCGATCTTCTTGACTTCCCACCGCGTATAGTTCACCAGGTCACCCCTCAAATAGTTCTTGAGGCTTTTTAACTCTGGATTCTCGTCCTGGTGGATTTTAATGCGTCTCCAACGTTCGTCTCGATAGTCAAGTGGTCGACTCGTGTCATCTATTGGTCAGATTGTCTGGAACGACTTCGGGTCGTAGCTGTGCCATTGTTTCAAGCGTTCTTGGACTAGGGTCTGAAACGGAATCATTTGGACTGTCGCTCATCGGGCTCTGACTTGCGTCGTCCTTCCGTTCCGGGAATTCCGCAGATTTCATGGTCTTCTCCGGGATCATGGACACCAATTTCAGATGCATCAGCTCATCAGCATCCTCAACCAACCACGCTTTCCCGAGCGCCAACGTCTTCGTCGTCAAGTAGTCTGCGGCCTGGTTGCTGGCTCGTTTGACGTGGACCAACCGTACTGAGTCAAATTTCGTCTTCAACGCTTCATACTCGGCGAGGCGACGTTATAGATTAGGCTGGTGGCAACCTATTAAGCCTTGCGCTTGTTGAATGACAATCCTGTAATCGCCGACCACGACCACATCTCTGAAACCGCGGTCGGCGGCCAGTTCCAAGCCTTTGATCAACCCGTGATACTCTGCATCGTTCACGGTCACGTCATCCAGAGGGAAACCGTGGGCGCTTAGTGCCAACCGGGTAGACGCCACAGAATACATCCACAACTTTCCTGTCTGGTGGAGACCTTGGCTGCACCATCGAAGATCAGTCCAGAGGGAAACCGTGGGCGCTTAGTGCCAACCGGGTAGACGCCACATAATACATCCACAACTTTCCTGTCTGGTGGAGACCTTGGCTGCGCCATCGAAAATCAAAACATATCCTTCGAAATCTAAATCCAGCATTTCTACGCTGATTGGAGGAGGGGCTTTGATTCGCCCCTTAGCCGGGATCAGATTTTCAGCGACTTCGTCTAAATGTTCCCTGGGGGAAATACACACGCCGAGGATGGCGGCTAATCCATATCATCGCGCTGCACACGACGTAGTTCCAGAGTCCACTTCGACAATTCCAGCCCCCACTTCAGATGACGGTCGTCAGCAAATTTTGACTTCAGTAGCCACTTCAGGACCGAGTACCAAGTATAGATCACAATCGGTATCTCGGAACGGTAGATGAGCGGGAGAAACTGCTCTAGAACTCGCAGGATTGCCAACATCTCCTTCTCTGCGATGTGGTATCTGAGTGCGGACTCGTTCAGAACCCGCCCCGTAAAACGCACTGGTTGGATGATCCCCTCATGTTTCTGCCCCAGGACACCGCAGGCCGCCCAGGGGTTGCATGTGGGATGATGACAAACGGCTTGGTACGATCTGGATGACGCAGCAGCGGAGTCAGGAATCGACGTAATCTTACGTTTCAGAATCTCGAACGCTTCCTTGGCCCTATCCAAATTGTGTCCGGCGCGAATGCGGTCCTCATCCAGCTTGGAAAACACAGCCGCAACAACAGGTAAATCCTCGATAAACTTGTTGTAGTAGTTCAGACATCCAAAGAACGATTGAACGCATTCAGAGTCGATGGGAACTGCAGGTCTTGAACGCTCTTGGTAATCTTCGGGGTAGCTCTAATGCCTGCGGAACAGACTTCGTGGGACAGATACGGTATAGCTTGTCTGCCGAACTCGCTTTTCGGGAGACGGACCGATATATTCCAATATCGGAGTCGGAACAGCAGAGCATTCAGGTCTTCACAAAGTTGGTCCCAGGTAGGCGCCCCATGAACTATGTCATCTATGTAGGAGCTTCATCCCACGACCGGTCCCATCTGTTCCTGTGTTCGGAATGTTTCGCCTGAATACAGTCGCCTCCTTCGCCAGCTCCGGAAGTCTGAAACTACCTTCGCCCCAAGATTATTGGATCGTCGGTCCTATGTCGGGGACAGGCGGCTTCAGAAATTCTTGGACGTCTCGATCGACCTTGACTTCTTCCTCGGGTCGGAGCCGCACGAACCCCCGGAGACAATTATTAATCACATTCGGATACACTAACGGCGCGTTCTTGAGTCCAAAAGGTATCCGGTCCACTGGAAGTGCACGAATGGGCAGACAAAGGCTGAATCAACTTCGCCCGCTATGTCATCTGAATCACCCAGAAACTACTCGCCATATCTAGACTCATGAACCATGCCGCGGCATTAAAATCAGTCAACAAGTCGTCAATCAAAGGTAGGGGGTATTGTGATAGCTTGATCAACTGGTTAAGCAGCCTATAATCAACACACATTCTGATATCCTCCCCATTCTTCTTTAAAACTTCTTTCACTATCGGAAATGACCACTTCGATTCAGAGTGCTCAATGAGCCCTGTCTCTAGGAGCTACTTCAGAAGTTCGTAAACCTTCACCAGATACCTGGAGTCGATCTGCCGAGCACCCAGTGCTATTGGCATTGCGTAGGTCGCGAACGACTCCGCGAGCTGAGGTCGGTGCTGCATTACCATCACCCAAAAAGATACGACGATGATAACTCAAGATCTTCCGCATCTTATCCTCCATTTCTGGGGTCGTGACACCTGGGACGCCGACGTCGGTTTTGTCGATATCACACTCTGGGCTCAATTCTTCTAACTCTGGAAACATAGTCAAGTGATCACTCAACAGAGCCAGGAGTTCCGTTCCTTTTCGCAGGTTCACGGCTGGTTCCAGATCTAACTTCTCCACTGTCACTCGCATGACACGTTCGTATTCTCGTTCCAACCTTTGGACAGGAGTGTCCGAGGGATCCGAAACGTCGTCCATGGGGTCTGAGAAATCGTCGAAGGCTCTTTCGAGGACGCTATCTAGCACGTCGTCCGAGGCGAACTCTGGAACGAACTGTGAATCATCGTTTGTTTCCGAGGTGAAATACACCGGCCTTAACGGCCGTTGACGTTCTGGATCTTCTGACCCCGACGAGATGGGTGGATCTTCTCCCAAGCCCACGACGCTCCGGAGTCGTTCTAAGTCCTCTGCCCCTTCCACAGTCGCCCCAGTCGTAGACGTCTTTGGGCCTACACCTCGGGCTTTATGCCTGGCCAGTTTGTCAGCAACACAGCCACACCGGTCCGAAACGAACGCTTGGGAAATCAACTTGAGTACCGACATCTCTGGTATCCACTTGCCCAGTCTCCTCGGCGAATGTCGTCATAGGAACTCCTGCCGGATCTTTCACACCTAAGGCATTTGCCTCTGGCTTTGAGGAAAGAGCACGTCGCGCAGCGAGGAAAACTTCCACAACTTCCGGTCTTTCCTGCAACTGCACCATCCGAACCTCTGCATTCTGAGTTTTTGGGCGTACAACGGGTTGGTCGGTCACTGATACTCTGGTCGTGGCACCGCGGGAAGATCCCGTAGTCGCATCCACCGCTCTAGGCGCTCGACATGCACCCGGCCCTGACGCGATTATGTGCCCTCGAAAGTAAGCCGTTGCCACTCCTTATACCTAGTCTTCCCTGGGCGGACGAATCCTGGCTCCTTCAGAAGTACCCGTACTCCACATTCCAAGAAAGTGCAGTCCGAGTGTCGATCCAGATATTTCTGTCCGAAACGTTGACCACTCGGACTGCCGCGGTCCACGACCGGGCCCCAAACAGGATCTCAGTCACCCATCGTTCTCCTCGTCTGGCCCAGACCACTTCTCGCTGCGGGTTGGTCTGGTCATATTCAATCTTGACTACAGCAGCTTCGCCAGGACGTATATACAAGCTTTCATTCGCGCAGACCAGTAGTTCTAGACCTCTACGTTTCCTAGGGACGTCGTCATAAATCACAACATTCTCCATGTCCGGTAGCTTGACTAATCCTTCACGGATGCACAATCTAACTCCAGCCGAGTACATGGAGTTCATACCTAACAATACGTTCACACTTTCACCAATATTTCCGATCCAGACATCCTGAAGATACACCACTTCCCAACCAAGGGTAATCTTGACACGAGCATGCGCGGAGATATACGTCGGGATTCCTCCCAGACCAGACACCATGATCTGTCGGTGCATTCGGATTTTGAGGCTGAGCCTACGCACTAGGTCCAGACTCAGAATACTCACCGAAGCACCCGTGTCTAGGAGTATCCTCGTTCACCGATCATTGATCGCCCCACACACGGTTGTAATCTCGTACGAGGCTTCTGAGTCATGATCTTCCCACCATCCGTATCTCTGGCCCGGGCCTAATGCAACTTCGACCGGGCCATCGGCGAGATTTAACCCTGAATCTGGTTTGTTAGAACGCTGATATTCAGGGTAAAGTTGCTCAGGATAGATGATCTCATCTTGAATTAGAGTCATGCATTGTTGGTTATCGTGGTTTCGGTCTTTTCTTCTTCTTTCTGGCCCCATACAAACTAGCACACACAGTTTCGGGGGGGGGGTTCTTGAGCCCAGCGCGTACTGGATCCCCAACCAGAGGGCTTAGTGGTTTAGCTGCTGCTTGCCTTGTCATGTGTAGTTGGGCCAAAGTATGGCTCGGCACTGCGGCGTTCAACATGCCCTGACTTGCAAGATGTTTCACAGTCTTGAACGCTCTCCACACCGCACACGGGATCCCAGGATGGACCTCCCCACAGTCGGCGCATCGCTTCTTCGACAGACTCGAGCCGGATGTCCCGTTTCAGAACAATTCCCACAAACTACGTCTTGCCAGCAATTCTCTTCGGGGTGACCCCACTTCTTGCATTTCTCGCAGAAGTTGTTCTGGTTTTCCAGACGTTGTTGTTCCGACCATTCTGAAACGCGATATACCTCGTGTGATTCACCGGCCATTTCAGGCATCTGGA